CTTGGAAGCAGCAGTCAGGAGATCAAACTACATATTGCACTGGGCACATCTGCTGCAAATGACCTCTTCAAAGTGTTAAAGAGCAAAGATGCCACTTTGAAGACAGGTGTGCCTGACCCCAGCCATTTTTTCAGTTTCCTCATGCATGTGAAAGCTGGACATTGAATGAGAAACCCTGGAGAATAACCGATGCATTTGAATTGTGGTGTTGGCAGAGAGTTTTGAAGATACCATGGGCTGACAGACGAACGAATGGATGTGTCTTGGAAGAGGTGTGGATTGCTCCTTAGAGACGAGAATGGCCAGACTTCGTCTCATACTTTGGTCGTGTGGTCAGAAGGGACCAGTCCCTTGAGAAGGATATCATGCTTGGTAGAGTGTGGGAGCTCTGGTGGCATGGTGCCTAAGACACTTGACTGCTAACCAGAAGGCTGGAAGTTCAAACCACCAGCCACTCCTTGGAAGGAAGATTGGGGAATCTACTTCTGTAGTGATACTGCCTCGGAAACCCAAGGACAGGTCGCTATGAGGTCCAGCGATAAAGGAGAAACCTCTCAATGAAATGGACTGCACAGTGGCTATTGCACAGTGGCTGTAATGACAGACTCAAGCATATAGCAAAGGTGTGAGGGTGGCACAGGACTGGGCCGTTGGTTCTGTTGTGTGTAGGGTCACTGTGGGTCGGAACCACGTCAACACACCTGACAACAGCAGGCATGCAGTTCAGTGATCTTGCTTTCTCACCTCCTGCAGCGAACGTGGGTTGGAGTCCATGTATGTGTCTGTTGGTCCTGTCTCTGAGGAGGCACACTCATTGCCCAGCAGCATTAGTGAGGTGGGCTGGGAGGTTCTAGCCACCTAGGATCGTTTCTGAAAGCTTCCATGTTCCTTAATGCCGGTGGTGGGTCCTAAACGTCATGGCTCACGTGTGTCTGGCAGGAAAAGACGTCAAGGCCACGCCCCCTAATACATCAGTTTGTATATTCACTGTTAGCAAATCTTAGTTTCTTCTTCTTTTTTTAAGGAGAAAATGGAAGTGGACGCTGTACTGTTTTCGTCCTCCCTCCCAGTGTTCTGTCTCACGTAACCCCAGAGCCCACCCCACCTGGGGGACGATCCGGCACCCCATGGTGTACCCCATGGTGTAGGTATAGGACGCTGGGCCTCGCTGCCGGAACCATCTGATGTTTGTGAGACTGGAGACGGGGTGCTGCCTGCTTCCAGGGTCACCTGTGTTAGGCAGCTCAGTTTGTCATCGCCTGGTAAGGAGTTTCCCTTCAGTAGATGTGTTTTTCAAAGGCTGGCCTCTGCTTATCTCTGCCTTCTCACCGTCTTAGCTCTGCTCCCCTCCCCCACAGTTTTACAGGAGTCCATTCATCTTGCCCTTGGTATCATCAGGATTGGTTTGGGGATAATTGGGAACTCTTCTGGGTTCACAGTAACAAATTAACGGCAATACTGAGGGGAGACAGCACCAGGGAATATCTGTACAGACGTGAGGTGTTTGCTGTTAATTTGGAAAAAGCGTGGAAGGCAGTGTTGACGTCAGTGAGCTCTTCCGCCGCCTGTGACTGCCTCCTGGTGTGTGTCTCTTCCTCTTAGATCAGCGGTTTCAGAGACCTGACTGCGGAGGTGGCTTTGGTGCTGGTTGTGTGGCTTTCCCTGGGCGCTTGTGGTCTCCACATAAAGAGCCCTTCCCAGGAGGTCTCCTGGCAACCCGACAGCGTAGCATTGAGTTTGAGTTTTGTCACATGGTGAGCTGTTGGGCTGACGTTTTCCTGTTGCTCTCAAGAGTGCTGTATGTGCTAGAACAAGTGTTTGTGTTATTGGTCTGCAGAGCACTTTAAAGTGAGCCACTGTCATTCTGGGCAAAAGGCAAGATCCATTATTACTATTTTTTTTCTCTGTTTCGTAGAAGTAATTGTAATATTTGAGTCAAACCCAGGGCCCTGGTTCATTGCCTTGCAGTCAGAGACAGAAGTGCAGGACAGCAGCAGTGTTCGTCCCAGCCACTTTCACTGGGTTCACACTCACGTCAGCAGATCAACTCAGTCGTGCCTTTTTCGTCTTTCAGGATTAGCAAAGCCAACTGTAAATGTTTTAAGATCTTACTTTTCCGATGACAGTGTGACTCATTTGTACCGTTTCATAAAACCAGAATACACAACTGTGTGACGCATGTCCCCTGCCACTTCCCGGGTCTGCTCCCTGGTGACGCAGCCCCACTGAACCAGGCAGTGCTGCTCAACACGCTGACCAAGAAGCTGGAGCAACTTGCGTCGAAAAAGATAGACAAGTATTTCATAGGACTTCATGTGCGATACTGTTAATTTTGTACTCCATTTATTAGGGTATAGATTTTGCTTTAAAGGTGAAATTGTAAGGCTATCCAAATGAGATTTTTAAAAAAGGACAAATGGAGAACCCGTGAGATTCTGATAAGATCCTATAAGCCTCTTTATGGCTGGATGTGGATGAGAGCCATCCGGGAGCGTCTTGGCTGCCTGCAGCCCTGGAAGAACTGACTCGTTCCCAGGTGGCTGGGAGCATCTGGCCTTTGAGAAGCAATGCAGATAGAAGTTTGACCACGAGGATTTGGCTTGTCTCTTCCTCCTTCCTCATACTAGACAGACTTTGGTGTTGCGATGACAACATGGTCTTTACTCTGAGCATCAGCTGTCTTGCTGTGCTTCCGAGGAGAGTAGTGTTCGCAGGGCCTTTTGAGGTCTCTAAGACTTGCCTCAGTCCACCCTGAATGATCCCAGAGGCCTTTGCATCTCAGTGCCCTTGTCTTGGAGCAGGTTGTACTGTGCTGGTGAGCACTGCCACCTGGCCAGGTGCTTGGCTTCCGCGTCTGTTTCCTTGTCTCTAAAGGGCATGGGGACGGCACCTCCTTGACACTCTTGTCAAGGGGTCTGTGAAGGAATGTTTCCAAAACTTGTCTGGCCTCTTCCAAGAAGCCAGGGTGTGAACTGGTCCTGAGGGAGGTGTGTTGTGGGGCTCCGGGGGTACACGCAGGCTTCCCAACTGTCTGCAGCTCCAAGGATACGCACATGCCAAGTAGGCGCCACGTATGTGAGCCACACACCTGAGGGGGAGGTGACAGGAAGCAGGCCAGCCAGGCACTTAGTGGACAACAGCAGAGCTCGGCAGTTTTGGTCTCAGCCCCCTTTACACTCCTAGATATTATCTACGAGCCCAAAGAGCTTTTGTTTATGTAGGTTTTATGTACGTTAAAGCTACAATTGGCCATAGTTGCAATTAAACCAGAAAACAATTATATTTATTTCTTTTTCCATTCAAAATAATAAATGCGTGTTAAGATAATACACTAGCATAACATATCAATGAACATAGCCCTGTTTTCCAAGATAGAAACAAGTTTGGTGAGGGAGAGGGGCTTCGTCTTACATTTCTGCAGATCTCTGTGACAGGCGCCAGGTGGTTTTGATGCCGTGTATGCCTTCGGTCTGTTGCCCTGTCCTGCTGGAAGGCCGGGGAGACAGGGAGTTGTGGACTTCTCTGAGTTCCTTCAGGGAGCCTGCACTGTGGCATCTGAAACCATGTCAGCGAGCCGTCTCTGCTCGCTGGGTCCAGTCCCGGGGGGCGGCTTGCACTGAGAGAGGCTCCTGTGCCCTGCGTGATTGACTGATCGCTGGGAAGCACTGGTTTGTTGGGCTTTGCTGATCTCCTAGTGTCAGCACATTTCGTTGTATAGATGTTTGAATCCCACTCACTAGCGTTCCCACAGATCCCAACGGGACGGCGTTTCAGCCCTGGGAGGCCAGCCACTCACACTGGCAGCCAGGAGTGTTCCGAGAGCCCCGGAATACCGGGAAGTCACACAGACTCCGTTTGACTGCCAGCCCTACGATGACCCTCCAACCTGTGTCTTTATCTCCATTGTGATATTGTCAGGATTAGGTGAAAGATCCAGCCCTGTCTGTGAAGCGTGTCGTAGGGTGTCTGGCCCCAATGAGCATTCACAAATCGCTGTCCTTAGCTTCTGACTCCGGCAGCCCCACGCACAATGGACCAACACGCTCACCACACCCTGCACCATCCCCATGGTCGGTTGCAGACCACACTGTTGGGATCCACAGGGTGTTCTTGGGCTGATTTCCGGAAGGGGCTCACCAGACCTTTCTCCCTAGTCTCTGTGTAGAAGCTCCTCTCAAACGTGCACTTTAAACAGCACTTCCACACGAGCCTCTACTGACACGGGTGGCTGCCGCGTGTAGCGTGTACTGGCCGGGAACCAAGCTCTGGTCTCCCACACGGAAGACGAAACTTCTACCAGTGAGCCAGCTACCCACAACCACTAAACAACAGTTAATTATTGTTGTTACGTGTGCTGTTGCTGTATCCTTACCGTCACAAACATCTCCCCCGTCAGGTACCAGGAGAAACAAAGCGGGCTTTGTGGAGCACTGTGGTGGTGACACTGTGCTTGCGAGAGGTTCATTTGGGCGGTCTCCAGACTGATGCCGTTGCCGTGTGTGTCAGCCAGCGTGCACCACGGTGCCCTTCCCTTATGTCAGCTTAGAGCATCCTTCCTCTCGGCTCTACTTTGCCTTGTCTGTGCGTGCACCATGCAGTTGCCATGCTGTGTGGATGCCACGTCCCTCACCCGGCATGGACTCTTCACACTTGCCTTCCTCTGATGCTCAGGTGATGGGTGTCAAGTGAACACACTTAGAGGGGATTGTTTGGCCTGGACTCTGGATGTGGTTAAAAAAACAAACATGAAGATGTTAGTATACTAAACATGGAAAACACGAAGACGTGACTGTGCTGAGTACGAGGGCTGTTGTCATTGTCATCCGCTCTCTTGCCGTGAGGAATGTTTAACCTCCAGTCACCCTACCCCATCTCTCTTTCTTTTTTTCCGCCTTGCATCTCTATTAATTCAAAGTAAAAATAGTAGGAGGCTTAAGTGTTTACAGTAACTGTGGGTTAAACATTTGTGCAATCAATACATTTTGCTTTCTGCTTTTCAGATGTTCCTCCTGCTGATCAAGAGAAGCTTTTTATCCAGAAGTTACGTCAGTGTTGTGTCCTCTTTGACTTTGTTTCCGATCCACTCAGTGACCTGAAGTGGAAGGAAGTGAAACGAGCCGCTTTAAGTGAAATGGTAGAATATATCACACATAATCGGAATGTGATCACAGAGCCGATTTACCCGGAAGTCGTCCACATGGTGAGTGTCCTACTCGGACTTCTTAGGATAGGCCAAGGTTCGTGAGCCACACCAATCCAGACCCAGTCCTGTGCTGTCGACCACCTGGCTCCGAGCGACCCCCCAGGGGGTTTCCGAGGCCGGAATCTTAGTGGGAACAGACTGCCTCATCTTTCTCCCACAACACGCTGCCCAGAAAAAAATCCACCTGTTTCCAAATTCGTCCTTGCGTCTTGAAGAATGACAGTCTTTTTGGTAGTGTTCCCTGGAGACAGTGCATGTTCTGTACCTGTCAACTCATGCAGTCCTCACAACTGCCTGTGGAGTGGGAGTGTTAGAACTTTTATTTGTATGCATTATCTTATCCCCTTTAAATTTCTTTATTAACTTTTTTTAACATGTGACAATATTAACAGTGCGCATATATAGTTTGGAAGTAAATATACGTACATACATGTGTGTAGGAAAACTCCAGTGATGGGCAGAAGTGAAAAAAATGATAGGCCCATGTGGGTATCAGACCTGATTGGTATCAGACCCTCTGTGCTGATATTGGACAGTCCATCCTGATTGGCTGGGACAGCCTCCACCCCTCTGTGCTGGTATCAAATGGTCTTCCTCGATTGGCTAGCACAGCCTCCACCCCTCTGTGCTGGTATCAGACAGTCCTCCCTGATTGGCTGAGGCAGCATCCATCATACTGAGTCAGTTTGTTTTGTTTGCCCCTAAATCTCTGTTCTCTGCATGTCACATTCCAGCCTTTGTTTGCAAGTCAGTTGCAGCTATTCCTACTGTACCTCGGGTGACTGTGACCTCTGTCCGTGCCACCTGGCAGAGTTGCCTGAGGTACCCCTTACTGAAGCTCAGTATCGGACCAAGAACTCGTCTTCTGTTGGTTTGTTTGAATTGTTCACATTTTATTCACCTTTAAAATTAGTGCTCCTCCTTATTAGTCGTCATTGTTGCTTAACAGAAAATTTGAAATCTTGATTTTTGTCGAAGTTTATTTTTATTGCTACACCTCACCTGGAAAACTCTCAAGTTAATGATTTATTTTAAGCTATATATTATGTGTGTGTATTTGTGCGTGTGCACATATATATATATGTATGTGTGTGTGTATGTATATAAACCATTGCCATTGAGTCCCATCTGAGTCACAGCAGCCCTTGTGGCAGAGTAGATCTGCCCCATAGAGTTCCCTAGGCTGCAACCTTTATGGAAGCAGACTGCCACGTCTTCCATTGAGCAGCTGGTGGGTTTGAACTACTGACCTTTTGGTTAGCTGCCAAGCATTCAGCCATTGCACCACCAAGGCTCCTTATATCTATTAAAAAAAAAAAAAAAAAAAACTCACTGCCATTGAGTCCAATCCAACTCATAGCGACCCCTCCTTGGGTTTCCAAGGCTGTATCTCTGCAGAAGTAGATTGCCCAACCTTCCTTCTGAAGAGTGGCTGGTGGGTTTGAACTGCCAGCCTTCTGGTTAGCAGTCAGATGCCTCTGTCACTATGCCACCAGAGCTCCCTTGTATTTCTTTATTACATATACAACATAAATCGTATTTCAGAATCAGCTAGAGTCGTTGACCTAAAATATCTTTACTTCTCACTTTGTGTGTGTGCTTTGGAAAAACGAAATGCTAGCAGTGTTTGTCTCCATGGTTCATAGCCTACTGTGTCCAGAGTTGAAATAAGTTGGTTATTTTGATTTATTGTTGGTAGTGCTTGAAGCCCAGGGCTCACTGGTGTGAGTTGGCCTGAGGCTGTCGGGGCCGCGTGGGCACCTCTCCCGTGAGAGCACGTGAGGAATGGCAACAGGTGTATCCTGGGCAGAGTGAGTCCTCGGGCCTTGCCAGCTCAGACGAGGGAAAACTGGGTCTGTCTTTTTATCTCCTTCTTTCAGCTCTGTTCCTGTGGAAGCTCCCAGCCCCAGCTTCATAAAGAAGAATTGTTAACATTGTTTCCTAGTACTTTCATGGTCTTGTTTTTCATACCACATTTTACAACCTTCCTGGAATTTTTTTTTTTAATAGTGCAGAATAGAGCCTTCACCTTACTTTCTTCTGAGTTAGTGGCGGTCTCTCCCTTCTTCGTGTGTTGGCTATCATTTTCCCCATTGATTTAAAAGGCTGCCTTATTACATATTAAATCCACATGTATGCAGAGGGTCTCTGTTTTCAAGGAGCTTTTCTGAGCAGGCGGTGACGAATGATCACTCCTCAAAATTTGTGTCTTTCCACGATGCCTTCACACAAGAAGGACTTGCGCAAGCAGGAACAGATAAACAGAGTGAGTCCTTATCAGCCGCGTCAGGGACGGGTTTGTGAACGATCCCAGTGTCTGCAGTCCTTGCGATGAGGCCTGTAGTGACGCCTTCTTCAGCTTAGTTGTGGCAATGCTGGTGTTTGCTCTACCGGACTCCACAAGGGGCATTAGGAATAGTGCCACACCCGGAGCGGATGGGCTTAGATTGCAAATGAGGGCTTCTCAGGCGGCAGGCGTCCTGCCTTGCCTTGAGACACTCTCTGGACGGAAGAGACCCAATGGGGCCAGCACAGCATTACCCCGGACGAGCTGCCACTGCCAGTCGACCCCTGTACCTGGGATTCCCAGAATGTGCCGGCTACTCCCAGCGTTGGCCACCGAGGGCTGTTACCTTAACCTCACCGACACTTTGGGTGTTCCGGATAGGTGGAGTACCACACCGCAAATGTGTGGGTTTAGAATGAGATCACGCTCAAGACTGCCTGCCTCGAAGTGGAGTCTCCTCCACCAGACCCAGGCACGGTCTCGAGACAGCAGGGCCGGCGTAGCTGCTTCGTGGGGGGAGTCAGCTTCTCGCTCAGGCGAGGGCTCTGGTGTTGCCCCAAGCGCTGAACTGCTGTTTGCTGGTCCTTACACACTGCATGATCAGCGTTTTCCCATCTTGTCTTTCTGTACCAGACTTGCTCTGTCTTTTCTGTTAGCTGGTCCACACCCTTCTGTCACACTTTTTATCTTATCATCACACTTGTTTAAACATTTTCTTACTTGTTGTTGTTGTTATGTGCCATCGAGTAGGCCCCGATTCATAGTGACCCCTCCTTGGGTTTCCGAGGCAGTATCACTACGGAAGTAGATTGCCCCGTCTTCCTTCCAAGGAGTGGCTGGTGGGTTTGAACTGCCAGCCTTCTGGTTAGTAGTCAAATGCCTTAGGCACTATGCTGCCAGAGCTCCTATTTTCTCACTACAGTTCGTATTTCTCATTTATGTCAACACGCTTCGTATTTTATTATTACACTAGCTCACTATGGGAGCCTTGGCTGCTAGTGGTCCCTAAGTTGCACCCGCAGCCTGAGAGGGAAGAGTCTACAGAAAGCACTAGATGTCTGTTGTCCTGTTTGGCTCAGATGCCCGCCCTTAACCCGAGTGTGTCCTGCCTGCTTGAGCCAGCCCCTGGTGGGTACCTCCCCTTTGCATTGTGTACATTACCAAACGCCTCCGGATGCTGAAAGCTCTGAGGAATCTCTGTAGACAGTCTTTACTTTTCCTCTCACTGCTGTGATTGTTTCCTGACCGGCCTTTCTTCCTGCTGTCTCAGCCCTGTTCCCTGTCCCTAAAATCAAGCCGGCCCGCAGGTGGGACAGTTTGCCTGCTAAAGCCATGGATGAATGCCTGCGCGGCCCCCATGACGGCCCAGACACATTTCAGAGTGTAGGAAACAGAGTCATGGATAAGGCTTCCGTCCTCCAGAGCTCTCATTCTGATTGGAAGACAGGTAGGAGCTAAGTCAGGTGCCTGGAAGTTTCGAGTTCTGGGGATACTCTGAAGGGAGGAGGAAAAGCACAAGGGACCGGGGATAGAGTCCCGCCGAACGCCCTTTATGGGCAGAGGAAGGTGCCGAGAAGTCCTGTCCGCAGGGGGTCAGACCTTCACACAGGTGCGCCTTGAGTCACAGCAGGACATACTGTCTCTGCTCTTCGCTGCTCTGACCTGAGACAAGCCAGACAGCCCATAGCCTTTGCCTGTGGCCCCTTCTTTGTCTGGAGCTTGGGTGGAGCCCTTAGATTTTCTGCTGTGTTTGTTCCTGTTGTTTTGTTTTATAACAGAGAGAGGACTGCAGAAAGGTACAATAAAAGAGGGGAGCGAGGGGGTGCGCATGTGTGGCAGGGGGACTTGGCAGCAGCGTGCGACCCTCAGAAGTGGTGAGTGGGCACAAGATTCAAGCGTCCAGCAGAAGCGTCCATCTGAGCAGTGCCTGCATCAGTGTGGCCGACGGAAAGGTCTGCTGCTGGGTGTCTGTTCTGGTGAGACACCGGCCGTCAGGGCCCGGGCGCCCCTGCTCACCACTTGAGGACTCCTGGAAAGCACTTGCTTGAAGTCTTGCCCGTCATTGGGTTTGTTTTTGGGTTGTGTCGCATGTTCTGTCTTGCTTTGTTGTCATGGTATTCTGTAGATGCTCTTTATCAGGCTGAAGACGTCCCCTCTGTTCGTTTGCTGAGAGTGGTCAGTTTGTTAAGAAGATCCATCCCCACTTAATGCAGGATCCAGATGCCGTCCTCCTAGCCCTGCTCCTTTTGCGGGTGCAGGCGCAACTCTTTTTACTGCACTTGGCTTCATTGCGATCACAGAGATTATGTTTTTTGACAAATTGAAAGTTTGTGGCAACCCTGTAGCAAGCAAGTCTGTTGGCACCATTTTTCCAACGGCACGGCATGAGTTTACTTCATGTCTCTGTCACATTTCCGGTCATCCTCATAATATTTCAGACTTGTTCATAATGCTGTTGTGGGGTTTCCCTACAGTGTAGTATAAACATTACTGTTACATACACTGGAAAAACGGTTCATGCGACTCTCTTGATTGCAGGATGTGCCTTATCGCAGTGGTCTGGAACCGAACCTGCACCATCTCCGAGTTCCGCCTGTGTTACCCATCACATTGGGCTGCGAAGTGTTCTGAAACAGCTGCTGCTGCTGTTGTTGTTGTTGTTGTTGTTTGCCATCGAGTTGGACCCGACTCATAGCAACCCCTCCTTGGG